AAGCTTAATGGATAACGCGAAATTGAGTTGGTACCATCTTTCGATGGGAATTGTAGGGATACCATAACCTTCTTCACACGTAATTGTACTTTCAAATCTAGTTTTGTTTTGTAGATATTAAATCTACTTTTTAAAGATACCTAAGTCAAATTTAGGATTTCTTTTTAAAAAGTGACAGATTTAGTTAGGTAGCCAATCGCACTTAAAAAAAAATGATTCGTGGCTACTCTTAAATCAATGTCTAACGATAAGTCCATAGACTTAAACGTTATGACAGTATTCAATTCACAGATAATCCTGATTTTTCGATGGGAATTGTAGGGATACCATAACCTTCTTCACACGTAATTGTACTTTCAAATCTAGTTTTGTTTTGTAGATATTAAATCTACTTTTTAAAGATACCTAAGTCAAATTTAGGATTTCTTTTTAAAAAGTGACAGATTCAGTTAGGTAGTCAATCGCACTTAAAAAAAAATGATTCATGGCTACTCTTAAATCAATGTCTAACGATAAGTCCATAGACTTAAACGTTATGACAGTATTCAATTCACAGATAATCCTGATTTTGCTAAAGACTTGTTATATATGGACGTTGCAAGTCAAGTTATGCATCGTACTATTTTTTAATTTATAAATCTTCAGTTTCTACCAATCATATATATATATATATATTTATGTATGTATTATACATGATAAAATCTGCCACATAAAGGTTTATGAGTATAGTTTTTTTAATGGCACGTAGGTTAACACTAAATAATCATATTATATTATCAAAATATTCAAAAATAAAAACATTTTCAAATTAAATTAAATTATATTATCATAATAAATATTCAAATATTGATTTGAAAATGGATAAAAAGATATAAGATTATTTACTTTATTTAATAATATTCAAATCCATTTAAAATATTTAAATTTATTTAAATTGATAAGAGTATCTATGAATTACTATTTAAAAATTTTGATTTAGGGACTTAAAAGTTATTCATTTTATTCATGCTTTTAATCCAATTAAATAAACGGATAAAAACTTCCATCTAAATAAATAGATAAAAAAAAAGTTCAATTATTTATATTTTAAAATATTAGGTGTAGATTGGAAACATAATTGATTTTTTGCTAATCTAAATATAAGAATATGACTCTTCTCTTTAATACTTTCATTTCAAATTTTTTAAAATTCTCTATCCAAAAGTAAAAGCATTTTTTGGTTTGCTTGAGGTATGTGATTTATTTTTTTTTTTTAAATCCTTTAGTTTTTTTATTTTTATGTAGTTTTTGGTTAATTTGTATATTGATTCTATTGCTCTTATTCTAAACTCTATTCTATTAAAACGATAAAAATTTTAAATTGAAGGTTTCTCATCATGTTTTTTTGTAATGAATGGAACTTCCATAATATGGGTGCATAAGTATTTATGGAGAAGATAAATGATAGGGACTGAAAAATAGTTTAGAATCTGATAAACTTTTTGAAGGTGGACACCTTACATTTTGGTTTTCAATTTCAAATTTTTTTATTCTTTTGATTGATTCCGTTATTAAATTTCAATTATACTTTATCTTAATTATTAGTTTTTATTATAATTTTTTGAAGTCTATAAATACTTGCTACATTTAAATTTTGTGTAAACCTTTTTTTTTATATATAACAAATTTCCTACTAATTTCAATTTGGGTTTCACTTTATAAAATGAGTTTCAAATTGGATATGTGACAACAGAATAAACTCAATTAGGAGAGTTGTTAAACTCCTCATAAGATAATAAATATCTAAAGAATTTTCTTTTCTATTTATCAATCAAGCAATCAATTTTATAAAATGAATTTAATCAAAAATTCCAATGTCTTAAATACTTGGTAATATACTTTCTTAAATTAAGATAGAGGTCAAAATGTTATTTGAATATTTTGTTGATAAATAGTTTTTTTTTTTATATATATTTTAGAATTCTTATACTATAAATTTATGAAATTAAAAATTATTTAAAAATTTTGTTGATAAATATTTTTTTTTATTTTGGAATTCTTATACTATAAATTTATGAAATTAAAAAACAATTTTAACATTAAATATATAAATTTAATAGAAACTAAAGAAACAAAGAAAGAAGAAACGAATACTTAAAAAAAAAAATTGAACAAACAAAAATTCTACCAAGATTGGTAATGAATTAAATTAAATAATATTGTAAATATCAAAATTCAGTGCATTGCACGAGTTAAAAATTAGTATTTGAACTATACTCTTATACGACCATAGAGTCAAGAATGAGCGACAATTCTGCTCCTGGGTGAGTTTGGTAATGTTATTGGATTCTCAAAAGCCAGTTTGGATGACCAACGTAATGCCAAATAGATTAAAAGAATCTATAGCTTAATTCAGGTTCTAATTGTTTCATAAAAAATGATTTTTGAAAAATAATTTATGTATTTTCATATGTTTATTTGGTAGAAAACTGACTAGCCAACGAAAAATGATTTATTGATCAATAGAAAATAAGATAATTTTTTTAAAAATTATCTTACCATTTTGAAAAATCGAAAACAATTTTAAAAAAAAAGGTGTCTGTGAATAAAACTACTTACTAATGTATTTGAGCATAATTTTATTCAAATCGGATTGTGTACATGATTTTTTTAAGTTCAAACTTAATTTGATCTAACCTAAAATATTATTATATTAATAAATAATAATTTATTTAATTATACTAAAAAATTAAAATATTAATATTAAAAGTTTTTTAATATTTTAAATTTAAATAAATTTATAGTTTTATTCTACTAAGACTTTGAACATAATATTTTAAGCTCGAACTTGAATTGATTCGACTTAAAATATTAAAATATTAATAAAAATATTGATTTAATTTTAATTAAAATATTAAATTATTAACATTAAAAGTCTTTTGATAATTCAATATTAAATATTTTTATTTTGTATATTATTAAACATAAATATTTTTTTATCTCAATAATAAATAGTATTATATTATTATTTTAATAATAAATAATAATATATATAATAATATATTTATTATTTTAATAATTAATGTTAAATAATATAATAATATTATTTTTTATATGAATATTTTAAATAATTTCTTATTATTTTTTAGTTTAAAATATATAATTTTATATTTTTACTTATTAAGGTATTTATATTACTATTTTAATAATAAATATAAATAAAAAATTTTTGTTCTGATTTAATAATGGATACTTTCAATATAAAATATAAATATTTTAATAGTATAAATATTTTAGTAATAAATATTACTATTTTATTATTAATAAAAATAATATTTTAAGAATATTAATACTATTTTAAATATTTTACATTATTAATATAAAAAATAATAAATAGTTTTGTTTTAAGTATTTTTATATGAATATAATATTTTAATATTAAATATTATTATTAAAATATAATTATTCTTGAACATTAATAATTTTAATAATAAATAATTTAATATACTTTAATAATAAATAATTTTAATATTTTAATTGTTCTATCAATATTATTTGTAAACAGAAACAAATTTTTCAAAAAATAATTAAATAACAAAAAATAATATTTATTAATTCATTTAAACAATAAAAAATCTCTACTTTTTCAAACAATGTAAATATTTTTTAAAAAATATTTTTCTGAAAGTCAATTTCAATGAAATAATAGAAATCTCGATTATTTTATATAATTATTTTTAAGAAATAGCATTTAGTACGTCTAAAACTTAAATTTTAATATTTATAATTTTTTTATTTTTAAACTGTAACTTCTTATGAATAATAATAATAATAATAATAATAATAATAAAGAGTTTGAGTAAAAAATCTAGTACAATTTAAGTGATCTAGGTAATAGCTTTGATATTAGGTGGCTTGCGGGCATAAACATTGTAGATACAAGGACATCTGGCCTAATACTTGCCCGAGAGAATGGCCATGGTTCTTTCTAACAAAGGAGAAGCATAAAATATACTTGCTGATTTAGTATCCATTACATTGTTAGCTCCAAAACCCACCTTAAAGTCTCCAAAAGTTTAGTTAGACTAGTAGTTGCAGCGAATTTGGTATTGGATTTGGATGCATTCAACCTTGTTTTTTACTTTAAAATTGGCATTGCAGGGGCCACTGACCTTCATCAATTAATTTTATTTATTTTTGGGAAGCCAATGATTGTTTAATATCTTAAAGTTTCATTTGTTAAGTTTGCTTCAGAATTCTTTACAATTTCGACATGCTTCCATGCTTCTTCTCACATGCAAAGCCATAAACAAATGTTTTTTTACTGTCAAAACTGTCTTTTATCAAACTCGAAGTTTAATTAATTAATTTATAAATTTATTTTTAAAAAATAACATCTAATAAATTTAAAATTTAAATCATATTTCTACGAACTCTTCTATGATAAAAATCTTTTGGAAGGGGATTCCTAAGCACAGAGAGTTTTATGGGTTTTCCAAATGGCAATAACCAATGCAAGGTTTTACTTTTCCTTTTTGTCACTGCATTTTTAAGTCAAGTGTTAAGGGTTCTTCTTTGGCCCTTTCTAGGGTTTTCTCATATGTAAATGTGGAAATTGTGAGAATGTCTGTAACATAATGAACTTATGCTTTTATTTAGTAGGATCGAGATTTGAGAAGCAAATAAGGAAAGAACAGACGGCAAGCCAGTGTTATTAACAGTTTGTATTTCCCCCAAAATTTACATATATAGTCCCTCCGCAGGGACGGAAAATCAACCTATCAGGAGAAGAAAAATATACACTAGTAAAAATTTTTTTCTAAAATTTACCCAAACCATGTTAAGGTCCAGGGTGAAACCTAAAAACCCAAAAGGAAAACTGGGGTTTGGGGTGAAAGAAAATTATCTTAAATGTTGTTTTACTTTGAAGCATTTCGTTACAATATTTTTTTACTATAATTTTACAATTATCAAATCATAATAAAAAATTATATAAAAATTCATCATTTGTAAGTGTGAGTTTTATATATAAAATTTTGATGAACTTTATATAATTTTAAATTGTGATTGATTACTTGTAAGGCAATGATTATAAGTGATCTGCTTTTGTTTTACTCAAGGACATCTTACATTCCTTCCAGGGCCTCCATAGTAAAAGTAAGTTCCCCAAACATTGTTCCTTCCCTGTCTGATGTCATAACAATTTGAATGATCAGCCAAGAGGCGAAGGTTTGTTAAAGGCAGCAAATTATTATCCCAATCAACAGTCTGCAAATTCCGGAAATAAGCTGCTTTTCCAAAGCCTTCTTCAGCAAAATGGCCACTGCCCATTTGTGTTGATGTGTGGAATCCTGAAGATCTAGTATTCACTATTTCTCCTCCAAATTGTATCATGTTGGCATGGCTTCTCAAGTGACTGAACAGAAAATCAGGCCAGTATCCAACCAGTAATCCTGATCCAAATTCCAACCACCAATGTCCATGTTTTGGATCCTACAAAAACATTTTTAGCATTTCAGTTGGATGTTGGACGATGTTGATGTCCATTTAAGTTTTCTTTGTTACAACCTGCTAGATTTTTTCCGAAAATTTTCCCTTGAATTGTCATATTATCAACAGATGGTGAGATTTAACATGAAGTACCAAAAAAAAAAAAAAAGGAAAAACAAAAAATTTTATACTTCTAGTATCATGAACCTATAGATTTTCCTCTTAAGCTGACCAATAAGAATTGGAATGTTGGAGTCAAACTATAATCAAGGAATGTTTAAAAAAATTATTTAAGAAAGAGAAAATAAAGTTGACACATCAGTGAACAGTTTGAGCCAATAAAGGAAAGAGAATCTTACATTTTAATGTATTAAGAATGAAAAAAAAAAGAATCAAATTAAATGTCAAGAAGGGCTTTATTCATTAGTCACTTAAGTCAATTTTATCATAAAAAATATTGTTTTTGAGAAAAAATATATTACTTTAAGTCTTTTATTGACGGCTTTCTCAAGGTTTTAGTCAAAAGAACTCAACATTGGAGCTTCAGCTGTGAAACAGTAAAACTGCTGTCAAGCTTAAAATAGAACCTCCTTTCTTGAAAATTGGGCCATATTTTTTAAATTTATTCTGTTCATATTTTAGTATAGTTTTGAAAAAATAGTGGGAAGCACTGACCTTCCAAACCATTAAGCCGATATCAAACTGTCTGCCATTATAGGAGGACCTTGGAGAGATTGCTGCTCCAATAGCAATCTTGTTGTTGGTTTGGACAAAGCCAGAGCAAAGCAAGTTGTAGCATCCAGTGGCTCGGTATGCATCAGTCTGTAAATTCAAAGTCAATTAGCAGTTGCTTCTTTATATTTAAAACTTGTTTTCAAGCTTTATACTCACTGTCCAGTATGTAAAGAACCTTGGGTAATTATCTCCATATAGTTCAGGGCTAACCTGAAGAAACATGAAATATGCAACTGTTAATTATAAGCATATAGAAACATCAAACAGCAAAAATCATCTCATGTTTTGTGACAGATAAATAAAATAATTTTGCATGCTGATAATTGAAAGCAACTTCAAAAAGAATTTTACAGAAAACTTGTGCATCATGCTGTCATACCATTTGATGTTTCCAGGATACTATTTCACATTTAAAATAACATGTCATAGCAGGTGTACGACCTGAGATTTTCCTCTCAGGATATCAATGGAAGATAAAGACTTCCCAATCAGAGATTCTGAATATGTATTAAAATTCAGGGACATGCCTGCCAACCAGCTTCAATGGTGTTCAGATCATTGCCAAAAGAACCAGAGATGACCCATATCTGTGACAAGCTAAACTCGTATTCGTTTGTCACACGAGGCGCCCACACGTTTAAGCTTGCCTTTGCTCCATAATATTGATCTCCATTCACAAACACAACAGCATGCTGCAATGAGAAAAAAAAAAAAGAAAAAAAGGAAAAAGAGAATTGTCAAAACTTTTGCATTCAGTTCATATATTTCACCTTGATGTGAACCATTGAAAGGATGGTATTATCAGCATCAGATGACAAAAAAAACAAAAAAAAAAGGTTGTTATGAGATGTAAAATTCATTTAGTTGATGGTAGTGCTCTATAATTGAAAATCAACTTTAGAGCCCATGTCCATTCACTGTCTGCCTTTCATTCTTTTTCACCAACCAACTCATTGTGAACTGTTTAATTGCTGTCAAAACAGGGGAAAGTCTAAGTTATTAGCCTTTCTAATGGAAAACTAGCCTTTTGAAAAATCCATGTAGAAATCCCACTCCGGCTTTATTCATATTTTCTGTCATGAGACTGATGAGAATCAGTTAGAAGGTAGATGAATTTTGGTGTTTCAATTGCTTAACGTGGCTTAAGGTTAAAGGTACTAACCTCATGGCCGCTGCCTGTCGAGTCTCTCCGTACATGTCTTCTTCCATATCTTCTAACGGAACTTGATCTCAAAATGTCTTTCTCCGTAGTTCTTCTGATTGGAACAGTCCCTTCAGGGCATGATTCACCTGAGTCTGTCCATAGCTGGAAGCTTTCAGAGACTGCTTCTGTAGAGTTATGACCTTTTGGCCTCGCCGGTGGATCCTGTCGAAACGAGGTTCAATTAATCTGTTTCATAAATGTTGTTTCAGATGCTCACCGACACTTGACTCTATTTTTCTTGAAACTTAATGCAATTACTTCTATGTCTATAGAGAAGCTCAACTGGAAAAACAAGCAGAAATTTACCAATGGTTTCTGCCCTCTAAGCTCAGGGTGATCAAAAGCAGGTTGAAGATGAGATAGAACACAATCTATGACATCATTATCTGGACTCTGCAGCAAGAAGCCAAGAACCAACATTATACAATTATCAAGATAACAAAAGAAGAACTAGTCTTGTACTCCTTGAAAATAGTAGCAGAAAATTTCAAAGAAGGAAAGACAGAGAAAAGAAGATGCCTGAATTGTCTTGACAGCAGGCTTGTTTATCTTCTTGAGATAAGAATTTATTGTCCTTAGCTTCTGAATCTCCATAGAAGGGTTAGAAGTATGGTTTGCCATTTTCCGGTTACCGGAATCTGATAGCAATGGTAAAGAGAGGACAGGGCCAAGAGAGGAAGCAACAACAAGGAAAGCAACAAAAACAGGAATCATTGAGAAAGTGTTGTGGGAAACAAAAGAAGCCATATTTGTGGAATGTTTTTGTGCTGTTGTTGTTGTTTGTTTTGATAGGAAGGATTGTGTTTGTATAAATTGGTATTGTCTTGTTGTGTTCACAACACAACATGGCTTATTCCAAAGTTTTGAACCTGGAAATGAATCTTTCATCATGTCCTTACAAGACACGAGAACTATACAAAAAAAACCCCTCCCTCCCTCCCTCCCTCTCACGCCTCAGTTCTAGACTTCTAGTTCCACTGCCTCTCTATTTTTCAACATAAGAACAAAACTCACAGCCCTTCTATTTGTATCAGAGATTCTAACTAAATACCTTAGTTTTTTTAGTTCTGAGGTTCTGACACACCAAGAAACTTCAAGCACGACTGTGTTAAAATAGACCTCATAACGGGCTGTGCTTGTCATAAAAAAAAAATATGGGGTGTTTTCTTTTTTTTTTTTTAATGAGAAATCCTGTTTCTGAGAAAAAGAAAGATGATTCGAATTTTAAGGAAAGCGAAGACTGAGTTGAGGTCTGAGTTGGAATGAACTGGGCCATTGAGAACTGATTCTTTTATATATTCTTTGCTTTAAATTTGAGCATCGAAACAGAGAGAAAGATTTTCTATACAGCTACACCCATTCTTTTCAAGTTGTTCTTTTGCTTTTCTTTTTTTTTTTTTTTTCCTTTTTTTTTTCTTTCTGGGTTGTAGTTAGGCAAAGGGTTTAAAATTTCCACTCGATTCTATAGCAGAAAAAAAAGGTGACATAATGTCATTTTATTGTAATAAATATAAAATTTGGCATCTCAATCATTTTCAGGCATTCACTGTGTTTTCTCTCTTACTCTATTCTAACAAATGATTTTGAGAATTCAGTTTTTGTTTGTTTCTGTTTCTTACATTCTGTCTATTTAATTTATTTCTGGTATTTGAATTTATTTTTGCATTTTTTTTATGTATAGGCATAATTGTACTGAAAAAGAAAGAAGAAAAGAATGACACCACAGTCTGGTGCTGCAATCACTATGAAATGGGAGTACATGTAAAAAAACATTTGTATATTTTAGTGGGGCATTTGTAATGATCATGTCAAACAAATGTGATGACAGGGGAAATTTTTATTTTATTTTATTTTATTTTATTTTCTAGCTTCCCAAAGTCCGAAGGAGTTCAATTTCTTTTATGAGCATTATTAATACACACATAAATGTTATATACATGTCCAAAAGTCATCTAATTTGTTAATAAAATATTAGATTTTAATTTCAGTTAACAGAAAATAATTTCAAAGTATAAAATTATAATAATAAGGATAATTGAAATGACCCAACAGAAATTGTAGGAGCACCAGCCTTTCACACATAAAGCAATTGCCAACTATATGTACATTATTATGCAGACTTGGGGTTAAATAAAAGAGAGAGACTATTAGATGCAGAGAAATGCTCATCTGAGGATACAAATTCTTTGTTGAATTTCAGGTGGTAGAACATGCATTTCAGTGAAAAAAACTGGCCATTTATTTCTCTCTCTCCCACACTTGACTTGGCTTAATGGGTTTTTAAATTGGTTGTTGGCTGATTTGATGAGCCACTTAATGCATGGTGTGTACCACAAGGACCTGGTTTCTGGCAATGCGCCACAACGGCTGCAATTTTGTCAAATTTATAACACATCACATTGCATCAACTATAATTTATGGGCATGACCTGGACTTAAAAGGCTCAAATTATCTACATGACCGTTCATTTTAAATCAATCTTTTCATTTGTTTTGCAATAAGCAAATTTTCGATCCTATAATCAGGTTAGAGAACATTGCCCAACTAGCTGATCCTTCTTAGTTTTGATTGAAAAAAAAAAAAAGGCAGCGATCGTCAAAACTATTTAAATTTGTAATTTAAATATCAATATCAATAATAATTTTTTTTAATATCAGACTCCAGATTCCTTTGTCCAAAAAACAGCAACCTGGACAGATCCGCTGATAGCACTGCTGTCACATCCAACCAAATTAGAGGCCAGGCCTTTAATCCAAAACGTGAGCAACTAATTTCTGTCAAACTACTCGACATCTAGATTAAATTTATCCAAAGCAGAGATCAAAATTATCATACTAAATTTATCCAAAGGCAGTGGGAGGACCACAGGCTTTTCAATATTGATGATATTGGCTGGTTGATAAAACCGGTGTCAAAGTCATCATCATTGGTTTGTAAGATGTCGTGTTTGAGCAGGACAAGCACCAGAATGCCACAATATCTGATCCTTAACCCGTAAGTTTTATCCCCAACTCTGAATAGTCAATTTAATGATAGAGGAACCCTTAGTGAGGAACCCTTAGTGGGGTGAAGGTGCCCTACTGCCTGCAGCATTAGGAAATTTCTCAAGAGTGTAGCTATGTTAGTAAAATTAAATAAAGACAATTCTGTCAGGAATCCAAGAGAATGAGGTGCAGAATCATTGTATCGCGATCTAATAGGTAAAGGGGTCTTTATTAATGGTAATCAAATTTAGGATTTCGATTCGATCCGATCTCATAAGATTAATTTTTATTTTAAAAATCGAGTTTCGAGTTAGGTCAAATATTATTAAGAAAAAATCAAGATCGGATTGGATCAGGTTCGAATTTTAGACAAATCCAACTCGATTCGATATTATATAAAAATTATTTTTTAATTTTTTATTTATATATATTTATATTTAAAAAATAATATTTTATATTTTAAAAAATAATATTTTATTAATTTCGAATCGAATCGGATCGAATACGATTTATACAATATCGAGTTTGGGTCGGATTCAAATATAAAAAATAAAAAAAATTAAGTTAAATACGAGTACGAATTTTATGATTATAAAATTGAATCGGATTCGAGACGAACAAAAACTCATCCCGATCTGATCTATTGTCAACCCTAGGGTGCTTGTCACTTCCAATATTTCTTTTTTTTTTTTTTCTGAGGATGAGATGATGGTTTTTGGAATAAGGTTAGAAAAGAATTACATTAGATCGACTATTAAAAGATATGTTAGCAGCAGGATTTAAATTTAAACCTTATAAATAAATTCTTCAAACTTTAACCTTTCAACCAAATTCCGTTGGCCAAAATCTCCCCTTTAGTTACTATATTACTCTTTTTATTTTAATTTTTTCTCTCTTCTCTCTTCTTTCTTCTCTCTTCTTTCTTCTTTTGGCAAATGCCCACTCATACTCTCACCCACCTCTGCAACAAATTAAAGCAAGTTAGCTGTTGAGGAATATTGGGCCACCGAAAGTCACCCTCAATTTGAAACAACTGGCATGGCCATGGCCATGGGGGGATTGTATTAAGGTATTTCAGTGCAGCAAATATGCTATATCTCCCCCCCCCCCCCCCTTTTTTTTTTTTTGGTAAAGTTAGCTTGAGAGACTAGATTCCATTTTGAAAATTTTGAATGCCACTCTCTTGAAAATTTGTAGAAGTTTTGTAGTAATATAGTAATATAGTAATATATATATATATATATATATTGGATAAAGGGGATGTGATTTAAAAAAAAAAAAATAATAGTAATACTAGTAGTATTAGTATTATTAAAAGTACACTATCTCTCTGACAAAAGCTGTCAAGACATGCTTTTTAAAGGGTGCAACAGATAAATATGAGTATGCAAATGTAAATTGGAAGCAATATTGTAGAAAAGAAGGGAGAAAAAAAATGTTCATAAAACTCAAAGATGGCGCTGATTTGCTGTAATAATTGTTCCAGTACCTAATGGCTGTTTGCCCAAAAAAAAAAAGGCTGGACCACTATTTATTTCACACTGTATGTCTCCATCTGCACTTTGTGTCTTTAGATAATAACAGTTACAACCATGTCTGATGGGAGTAATCCTACTAAAAACAATGAGAAAAAGAAAATTAATGAATACAGAATTACCAAGTTATTAGGTTTGCAGATATCATGGTTACTGCAAATAAAATAAATATTGAATTTTTAATTTTAATAATCAATATCAAATTCCAACAATTTGAAATACAAAAGATACCCTCAATAACATTGAATATACTCAAGTTTTGATACTATGGATTTCCAAATTAATTATTAGAACCAAGATACTACTTCTCATGTCATCTCTTGGATTAGTTATCACTTAATTTTGAGGTGGAATCTGAGTTTCTCATGAAACTGGATCCGTGAGATCAAATTTTTTTAAACCAAAGTTTAACTAAACTTGATTATTTTAGATAGGACATGAAAATGGCACAAAAAAATTTATATGATTTAAAAAAAATATATTTTATATTTTGACATGTTAATATGAATTTTGATATAATAAATTTCATGTTTTACATTTATTTAATCAGTTTAACAAGTATAAAACATGTATAACACATTTAAGTTAGTTATGTCACGCCAAAATATATTTAACACATTTGAGATATGAATAACATTTAAGCTTATTGTATCAAGGAAGCAATTATTTTTTTATATTACTAGTAACTACTTCATGCGTTTCGTTTCGTAAGTCTTTTATTAACTTTTTGTGTTAAACAAATTCGATTTTGACAATTATTTTTATTAATTATAAAATTTTTAAAAATAAGATTTATAAATTTTGGGTTGTAAATTTTTTAAAACATATTTTGTAAAATTTTAATTCAATATAATATTTTAAAAAATAATTATAAAAGTTTATTTTATTTGAAAAAAAAAAAAACGTGACAAACAAAATGGGACAAAGAAAGTACAATGTAATGTTAGTAAACTCGTAGCTCATTGTTTTAGATTTGTTGGAGCTACACCTACAAATAAATAGAGTTATGTACAAATTTATGATATTAATTTTGTTTTTTTTTTTTTGTGTTAAAAACTTATTATAAATAAAGTATGAAACTTTTATATAATAAAATGCAATATTTTAATAAATACGAAACTTATCATACTTGGTTTATTTAACCACTAAGAAATGAATTAATAAGTTTGAAATTTTAATCCCAACACTTAAAACTCCTTATCTTATCTTTAGATTGCCTTGATATAGTAAAAAAAAAAAAGATTTTACTTAGAATATAGATTAGTTTACCGGTTAGGTTGTAATTTATTCTAATTCAAAGTATTTGTCTATTTTTTTAATCAATTTGTGATATTTTTCCTTTTTTACAAAGAGGAGACCAAAGCCCACACTCATGGGAAAGAAGGAATAACGTGCTTTAGTTTTAAATCAAATACTTTAGGAATAATCTCCACATTATAATTTAGTTTTAAATCAAATAGACATAGAGATGAGTAATTAACTCTGTTTTTCTTTTTCTTGAAACATATTTTATTAGTA